CTCCGGTCTTCGGCGTGCGATTGGACCCAATCCTCGGCCTGTGATTGCCTCCGGTCCTCGGTGTGTTTGAACATCAGGATGGAGTTGTAAATTTTGAGGGCGGGACCAAGTTTGATTGACATGATCCTGACAATGTCCCGTTGGGAGAGTAGAAGGAAGGCCCGACCATCGATTTGCTAGACGGACGGAAGCAGGAACCAATGAGATCACAGCAGGTTCAATGTGATGAGTTAAATCTACAGCAGCTGATTGGTCGTCTTACCTCATCTCTGAACTGTTTGGCCTGTTTTTCACAACCAGGAAGAGACTCAATGAAGTCTGACACCTGCAGAGAGACAGACAGGTTAGAGAGACGGACAGGTTAGAGAGACGGACAGGTTAGAGAGATGGACAGGTTAGAGAGAGACAGAGCGGTTAGAGAGACGGACAGGTTAGAAAGAGAGTGAGACAGGTTAGAGAGACAGACAGGTTAGAGATTGACAGGCAGGTCCCTGTCTGTCTCTCTCTGACCTGCTGGACGCTCCAGTGTCTGACGGTCTCTGCGTGGACTCCGGAGACGCCCGGCAGTAGTTTGCGGTGCTGCTCCCAGCAGAGAGACAGGTCGCGGCCGGGCTGCGCCGACATGGCCGACAGGAAGACAGACTGGTGGAGGGCGGCCTGCAGACTGGACTCTGCTGGTGGAGAGACAGACAGGTCAAAGACACGAGTCTCTGAAACAACACCTTAACACCTCAGTGTTTTATGATTCTACTTTGAGCTAATTGAACTGTGACTCACGACGTTAGTAGAATAATCCTTAGCACAATGCTAATCGGTAGCAGAATGCTAATTCTTAGCACAATGCTAAACGTTAGCACCTCAGTGTCGTGGTCCTGATTCTGGTTCAGACCCGTCTATCAACAAACACAATCCAGTCTGAACCACATTAAAACGTTAAGAATCAGGAGACCTGTCTCACCCCACAGCAGTGAGACAGGCGTCACGTGACCAGAGACAAGAGGACCTTCACAACCAACACCGCTGTTACCATGGTGAGCTGTCTCCATGGAAACAGCCACTTCATTGGCCTGCTGTTTCCATGGAAAGACAATGAGGAGAGAAAGAAAGAGAGACAACATCGACGAAAGCGCTCGACGTCGACGAAAGCGCTCGACGTCGACGAAAGCGTTCAACGTCAATGAATCTGTTCAACATCAATGAATCTGTTCAACATCAATGAATCTGTTCAACATCAATGAATCTGTTCAACATCAACGAAAGTGTTCGACGTCAATGAAACTGTTTAACGTCAACGAAACTTTTCAACGTCAATGAAACTGTTCTACATAAATTAAACTGTACCTGGTGTGATGTGAAGCTCCTCCTCTTCCTGTTTCACACGGAGGAATTTGGTTGGATGGGAGAGTCTGGGGGGCGGAGCCAGTGGAGGAAAAGAAGTCATTACAAAATAAAGACAAATAGTTTTATCAAGTGACTGAATGTGTTCTGATTCCTCTGCTTCTCTCTGCTGAAACAATGAGCCTATTGATCCATCATCGATCTGTCATCGATCCGTCATCGAGCCGTCATCGAGCCGTTATTGATCCGTTATTGATCCCTTATTGATCTGTTATTGAGCCGTTATTGATCCATTATTGATCCGTTATTGATCCCTTATTGATCTGTTATTGAGCCGTTATTGATCCATTTTTGATCCGTTGTTGATGTGTTATTGATCTGTTAGTGATCTGTTATTGATCCATTATTAATCGTTATTGATCCATTTTTGACCCGTTGTTGATGCGTTATTGATCCGTTGTTGATCCGTTGTTGATCCGTTATTGATCCGTTATTGATCCGTTATTCTGACTGTGATGGGTATCTAGCTAGCTGTCGTCGCAAAAAAAGCTTATTGGAATTTAATTCCAAACGAATAACTTCAATTTCAAATTAGTTATTTTAACATTAAAAGTCAAATATAAAGGAGTCAAAGTGAGTTTCTGTCTGTCTGTCTGTCTGACCTGTCTGTCTGTCTCCTTCTCTTCCCCAGAGGAAGCAGCAGGGCCTGGTCTCTGGTCTCTGTCTTCACCTGGACATACCTGAAAGAACGTCTTTGTCATTAAAAGGTTTTGTAACATGCTGTAATTTATTCGTGAATAAATGGTTACCTGTCTGACTGGTTGTCGTGGTGATACATGGTGACAGGTACGAGGGTGATGACTCTCTCTCCTCCCAGCCTATCAGGAAGCAGCACCTCCTTGCGCATATTAATGTCCGAGTACGGACACCCAAAGGCACTGGGGGAGGACACACAAACATGAGTCAGCATAAATAAAACACGAGTCAGCAGACAGAAACATGACTCAGCAGGTGTGTCTGTACCTGTGGTGTCCGGTGTATTTGGCTCCTTTAATGTGTCCGACTCCTCTGCAGCCACGAGTGGGACATACACCCTGAGAGGGAGACATGGGGGAGGAACCTGTCTCACACACAGCGGGAACAGAAACACTGTTAGAATCTAGAGTCTGACCTGTCTGTCTCTGACCCGTCTGTCTCTGAGCCGTCTCTCTCTGACCCGTCTCTCTCTGACCCGTCTCTCTCTGACCTGGGGGGGGGTTCCAGAGGGTGTCCTGTTCGTTGACACCAGCCCATAGGATGAAGGTCCCAGAGGTCGCTGTCGCTCCAGACGTCAAACTGCTGCGACCAGCCGTCATAATGAACCTGCAGGTGAACACACCTGGTGACGTCATCGCACACTCCATGACATCACACAGGTACACAGACAGGTAGACAGACAAACAGGTAGACAGACAGACAGGTAGACAGACAGACGGGTAGACAGACAGACGGGTAGACAGACAGACGGGTACACAGACGGGTACACAGACGGGTACACAGACGGGTAGACAGCCGGGTAGACAGCCGGGTCCGACGTACCTTCACTCTGTAGTCTTCTGTATCCGTTACCGTGGCGACGCGGATCAACATGGGGTTCTTCCTGTCGACGGCCTCCAGTTTCTGGTTCACCTGGAACCCGTGTGGAGCTCTCTGGACGAAAAGACACCCGTCAATCATCACATCATCTGAGTGAAGGCTTCTCTACCTCCTTCTTTCCTTCTTCACCTCATTGTTTCCTTCTGTACATTCTTGTTTCGTTCTCTAACTCCTTGTTTCCTTCTCTACCTCCTTGTTTCCTTTTCTAACGCCTCCTTTCCTTCTCTACCTCCTTGTTTCCTCACCAGTGTGAAGGCTGAACTGGGAGCAGCGGTGGAACCAGTTTGCTGAAGGTATTCCTCCCACAGGAAGTTCTCTGGGTTTGGGTGTCCTGAAAAACAAAAGTATCCATGACCAGTATTACTCAGAGTACTACAGAGTGTATACTATGTGAGTGTGTACTACAGAGTGTATACTACAGAGTGTGTACTACAGAGTGTATACTATGTGAGTGTGTACTACAGAGTGTGTACTACGTGAGTGTGTACTATGTGAGTGTGTACTACAGAGTGTGTACCCTGAGGAGCAGTGAGAGGTCGTCCCTGTTTTTCACACCAGCCCACAGGATGGATGTACGGACTCCTGCTGTCACACCTGATTCATCCAATGAGAATCAATCAATAAGTACCTTCACTCATACAAACACACTTTACTGTCACCATTTACTGCTACTGTACAGCACTGTGACACTATCAGTACTACCTCTACTACTCCTTCTCTTACTTAATCCTCACTAGTTAACTACTAAACACGTTAACGTTCTCTAGTTTCACTCGTGGATGAAATTGCTATTACTAATTACTAGTATTACTGACACTGTTACTACTGCCTCTGACCTGTCTGTCTGCCCGTCACTGACCCGTCTGTCTGCCCGTCACTGACCCGTCTGCCTGCCTGCCTGCCTGTCTCTGACCCGTCTGCCTGCCCGTCTCTGACCCGTCTGCCTGCCTGCCCGTCTCTGACCCGTCTGTCTGCCTGCCCGTCTCTGACCCGTCTGCCTGCCTGCCCGTCTCTGACCCGTCTGCCTGCCTGCCCGTCTCTGACCCGTCTGCCTGCCCGTCTCTGACCCGTCTGTCTGCCTGTCTCTGACCCGTCTGTCTGCCTGTCTCTGACCCGTCTGTCTGCCTGTCTCTGAACCGTCTGCCTGCCTGCCTGTCACTGACCCGTCTGTCTGCCCATCTCTGACCCGTCTGCCTGCCCATCTCTGACCCGTCTGTCTGTCACTGAACTGTCCGTCTGCCTGCCGTCTCACCAGTAGTCATACGTGTCGTCCCAGTTGTCGAAGTGAACCAGGAAGTGGTCATCGATGACATCAGCGACGGAGGCGACGCAGACGAGTCCGGGGTTCTTCCTGTCGACCGCCTCCAACTTCATCCCCACACTGAACCCACAGCTCTGAGAGACAGACAGGCAGAGAGAGAGACAGGTGGTGAGATCAAACCCACAGGCAAACAGACAGTATAAACAGGTTTATACTGACTGCAGACAGACAGGTGAACAGACAGACAGGTGTATACTGACTGCAGTGCGACAGGTGAACAGGGTTGCGGGGGCAGCATGAGAGCCTGTAGACTGAAGGTAATGCTGCCAATCAAAAGCTGTCTCACTGTGGCCTGTAAAGAGAGAGACAGACAGGTTGGTTGAGTGGTGTCACCTGTGTCAGGTGGTCCTCTGTGAGGGGGCGGGGCTACCTGTAATCACCTTTGGGGGGATGGAGCTTGTGGTTGTTGTCTTTACACCAGCCTGTCTGTCTGATGTCGGCTGAGTCAGAGTTTACCCAGAAGTCATAGCACTCAGAGTACCCGTCGATATGGAGGCGGAGCCGACAGCCAATAACCTGAGAGAGAGAGAGAGACAGGAGACTCACCTGACCGACCTCAGACAGGTGTGTGTGTGTGTGTATATGTGTGTTACCTCGGCCACGGTCAGCACACAGAACATAGACGGGTGCAGCGGGTCGACGCCCTCCAGCTTCATCCCAACTTTAAAACCAGTCCTCCTACTGGGAACACACTGGGACTGAGAGAGAGAGAGAGAGAGAGAGAAGAGAAATATACTTTATTCATCCCCAAGGATTTGTCTGTGCAGCAGCAAACAGGGTTACAAAATAAAATAGAAATATTAGGTATGGAAAATGGAAAATGCACACTATATACAATATAATAAAATAACAGAGCAGGACCTATTAAATTTAAGAAAATAACGTAATAAAAATGCACAGTATATACACTAAATAGAATCATATTAAATTAACTAAGTAGGAGAAAATAAACAAAACAGTAGTGCACAAGATCACCAACAGCAGCAACAACAGTGTAGCAGTGTTACAGTCTAGTGTTTGATTTGGCCAGAGGTGATTTATTATAAAGTCTAATAGCAGAGGGCAGGAATGTTCTCCTGTATCGGTCCTTGTGACAGCGGAGCTGAATCAGTCTGTTGGAGAAAGTGCTCTGCTGTCCCTGCAGTAGGTGGTGGAGAGGGTGGTCCGGGTTATCCAATATGGACAATAGTTTCTTCAGTGTCCTCCTCTCCACCACCTCTTCCAGATTGTATTGTTTGCAGCCAATGATGGAGCCGGCCTTCTTAACCAGTTTGTTAAGTCTGTTGGTGTCTCCGGCTCCAATGCTGCTCCCCCAGCAGACTACGGAGAAGTACAGTGCACTGGCCACAACAGACTGGTAGAACATCTCCAGCATCTTGCTGCACACGTTGAAGGATCGAAGTTTCCTCAAGAAAAAGTCGACTCATCCCCTCCTTGTACACAGCGTTGATGTTGGTCTTCCAGTTCAGTCTGTTGTCGATGGAGACACCCAGGTACTTGTACTCCTCCACCATGTCCACATCCTCTCCCAGAACTCTCAGCGGTTGTGGAGCCGTCGTCTTCCTCCTGAAGTTGACCACCATCTCTCTGGTCTTGGCCACGTTCAGACGCAGGTGATTTCTACCGGCCCACTCCACAAAGTCCTCCACTACTGCCCTGTACTCCTCCTCCTGTCCATCCCTTATACACCCGACCACTGCAGAGTCATCAGAGAACTTCTGCAGATGGCATGACCCAGGGTCCAGTGAGGATTTCACCTGCGGTCGGAGGTGGGCCAAGACCAGCCTCTCCAGCACCTTCATCACATGAGATGTGAGGGCAACTGGTCGGTAGTCATTGAGGCCAGATGGTGTCGTCTTCTTTGGTACAGGAACCAGGCGCGACGTCTTCCACAGCACCGGGACTTCCTCCTGCTTCAGGCTCAGGTTGTATAGGTGTTGAAGGACATTAGACAGCTGGATGGCACAGGTCTTCAAGACCCTGGGGCTGATGCCATCAGGTCCAGCAGCCTTGCCTTGGTGGAGTCTCTCCAGCTGTCTCCTAACCTGGCCAGTCGTCACAGAGAGGGGGGGAAGGGCGGTCATGGTGTCGGTGGTGGCAGAGCCCTTTGAAGAGGAGGGCTCAGAGTCCATGCAGCTCACCAGGGGGGACAGAGGGGGAGGTGTTTGGGAGGTGTGGTGTGTGGAGGAGACAGATGAGGGACAGATGAGAGCGACAGAGAGAGCGAGAGAGAGACTTGTCATTAAATTTAATTTAATACATGTCTGTGATCACAGACACGTGTGATCACAGACATGTGATGCAGTAAAAGTCTCCACCGCTGTGTTCCCGACTGCGCATTTTGCTGATAAACTGGGTGCACTTGGCACGTAGTTCACTCTGCGATTTACCGACTTTGCAGCTCAGAAATTAAAATCTCAACTGCTCAGCAATCCGTTTGCAGTTGACGTGGAAAGAGCACCTGTGGAGCTGATAGACCTCCAGTGTAATGACACTTAAGGTAAAGTATGATTCTGAGGCCTCTGCACAGTTTCCAAGCTTCACCCCGAAACGATGCCTTAGCTCGGCCTACATGCTGCTCAAACGCTCTGCATGTTTGGAAGCACATACCTGTGTGAGCAGCTTTTCTCTGTGATGAAGAGAACAAACCCACACAGGAGTCTCACTGATGCACCTTCACTCCATCGTGAGGGTTTCCACAGAACCTAACCCAGCTATTAATGAACTGGCAGCCAAGAAAAGATGCCAAACATCTGGCTCTGGTACGTATGCATAAAATAATGTAGCCTACCTAAACATGTATTCTTCTTGCACTTTGTCCAATACCCCTTCTATCCTGTTTATTAAATGGTGACTCTATTTAATTTTGTCCCTCTCTGTGATTGAGTTTGACACCCACTGCATATCTGCTGTATTATGCTAAAAGGTGTCATTTTGTAACGTTTTTGGATGTTGGTGTGCCGTGGGATCTTTTTAATGTAAAAAATGTGCCGCGGCTCAGAACAGGTTGAAAAACACTGGTGTAGGCTACATTTAAAAAACTGTGTCTGTCTGTCTGTCCTACAGTCTGTGTCTGTCTTCTTTTACCAGGAAGTGAGCCGTCTATCTTTGACCATGAAATTAAACTCAATGTGTGCGTGTGTTACATGTGTGTGTGTGTTACATGTGTGTGTGTTACCTATAGATATACTGTATATAAACTGAACTTGTCTCGTCTTTCCGATCTCTCAAGCTCTTTAACACTACATATCATTCACACACTGATGGGAGGAGCCACCACCTGTCTGTCAGACACAGCTACGGGGGCAATTCTGGGGTTAAGTCTCAAGGACACCTCGACATGCGACCAGCGGAGCCGGAGATCGAACTGCTTTAGACACAGTCGCCTCACGTGTGTGTGTGTGTGTTACCTGTGTGTGTGTGTGGGTGTAGTTGTGTGTTACCTGTGTGTGTGTGTGTGGGTGTAGTTGTGTGTGTGTTACCTGTGTAAACAGTGACAGAGGAGCAGCTTCAGTTTTCTGTTCGTTCAGGTACTGCTGCCAGGACCAGGACCGTCTCTTTACACTCACTGAACACACACACACACACACACACACACACACACACACTCGTTATATCACGCCATCAACATCATTAAACTGCAGCTAACTGTCTACTAGTGCAGCTAACTGTTTACTTGAGCAGCTAACTGTTTACTAGAGCTGCTAACTGTTTACTAATGCAGCTCACTGTCTACTAGTGCAGCTAACTGTTTACTAGAGCAGCTAACTGTTTACTAGAGCTGCTAACTGTTTACTAGAGCTGCTA